AGCATGCATGTGAAAACCATAGGACAGCTTACCAGAATCAGTTCTCTCTTTCTGCCATGTGGGCTCTGGAGTTCTGAACTCAGATCATCAGGCTTGTCTACCAGTGTCTTTGCCCACTGAGACATCTCACCAGCCCACAGGTGTTATTTGTAGCATAGGGTTTAGGAATCAGCTGCCAAAAAGTTCTCAGTATCCCAGAAGAACCCCTGTGTCCATACCCTCTCCTTCTTTCTTCCCCAGGTAACATCCCCTCGCCTCCCAAAGCCAGACATTCTTATCCACAGCCTTTTTAGCCTGTATCACCCAGGCCAGGGACAGCTGGGCTGCAAGAGCCATCCGGGCCAGCCCCAGGACTGCCACACAATGGCCTGCCACCCTGCCAGAGGAAATCATTGTATTGCTTAGGACCTCTGTTAGCTCCAAGCCACAGGCAGGAAGACAGGACTATGGCAAGGCCCAAGTGGCCACCAAGGGGCCCCCGCAGGAGGAAGGGCTGAGTCCATTGGAGGAAGGATGGAAGGCAATGAGGAGGTCAGGGGCTGAGCCCTGGCCCTGAGGCACCTTGGCAGGAGATTTAGGAGAGACGGTGGCCTTTTTGACAGCCAGCCACAGGAAATACAGTCACAGATAACCCAGACTCAGGACCATGGCTCCAAGGTTACACTGCCCTAGCAGCTCATTATATTCTATGAAGCAAGCCTCTCTGCAGTCACGACCCCAGCTTCCCCAGCTATGGCTCTGCTGTTCCTGGGCATTCTCCCTGTGTTCATATCAGGCATGCAGAATTGCCCCAGGCCAGCAAGAGTAACCCAACCCCTGGCCTTTCACCTTGATTGTTTTTTAAGCAATTTATCAAATATGGTGTCAGAAAGCAACAGGACACGCAGTCATTAAAGCACCAGCTTTAGTTCACCTTGCTTGTTGAGAGACATTCTGCCACTCCCCAGATGCTGGACACACAGCTGGCCGAGCTCCTGGGACTCAGTGGTCAGATGAAGCTCTCTGTTCCCTCACCTTTCACTTAATGCAAACAAGTGGAGTGCATGACCCCAGTGTCTACCAGAAGTCGTTTGGCCTGGAAGCTACCAGGCAGGAAGGAGGTGACAAGACTTGGTATGGAAGGAGCCTACACATTAGCACAAGTTCTCTGGGCCATGAGAAGGCCAGAGAAGACAGCGCATAAATAAAAATGTATTTCTGGTACAGAGTGAACTGGAACCACGAACTTGTGGGTTTGGGTTCTTCTCTAAGGAGCCCACTGTGTACAAGGTGAGGGCAGTAGCAGACTGACACCGGGCAAGAAGGCTGTTTGGTTCAAGAAGGGCAGGGGGCTGGACAGCCTGAGAGGCAGGGAAACTAACAGTAGTCCTACCAGCCACATAGCATGAGCTTTTAGAATTACCATGTCCTTTTGCATTAAATGAGAACAGTAAAGATGCTGGGGGAGGGGGGGGAGGAGGGCTCTGTCGATATAGTGCTGGCCACACAAGCATGAGGATCTGAGTTCAAATCCCCAGCATCCACAGGAGAAAAGCCAGGCATGACTATATGTAATCTGTATCCCCAGCAGTTGGTGGGGTGGGAGTGGGTTGCAGAGTCAAGCAAATCCACAGAGCTTACTGCTCGGTCAGCCCAGCCTGTTGGTGAGCTCCAGATTCACTGAAGGGTCTGTCAAAAAGATAAAGTAAAAGCCGGGGATTCGTGGCACATGCCTTTAATCCCAGCACTTGGGAGGCAGAGGCAGGTGGGTCTCTGTGAGTTCAAGGCCAGCCTGGTCTACAGAGGGAGTTCCAGGACAGGCTCCAAAGCTACACAGAGAAACCCTGTCTTGAAAAACCAAATAAATAAATAAAAATAAAGTGGAGGCACTAGAAGACATGATCCAGTAGTTAGAGCACTTGCTCTATTTCCAGAGGACCCAGGATGATTCCAACTACACAACAGCTCCCAGCTATCTATTTCCCACTAATCCAGTGTTCTCTCTCCTGGTCCCCACTGGCGTCAGACATACATGTGGTGCTCATACATGCATACAGACAAAAATCCATGCACATAAAATATTTAAATATATGCTAAAAATACAATGGTGCAACTGGAAAGAAAGCTCAGTAATTAAAATCTATCTTTTAACTTGTTGCTCTTGCAGAGGACCTAGGTTTGATTCCTAGCACTCACATGGTGGCTTATAACTATTTTAACTCCAGTTCCAAGGGATACAACAGGCATGCATATATATGCATCTAGTCAAAGCGTTCATAAAGTAAATAAGTCTTTTCTTGTCTTTTGTTTTGTTTTGTTTTGGTTTGGTTTTTGGTTTTTTGAGACAGGGTTTCTCTGTATTGCTTTAGAGCCTGTCCTGGAACTAGGTCTGTAGATCAGGCTGGCTTCAAACTCAGAGATCTGCCTGCCTCTGTCTCCCAAGTGCTGGGATTAAAGGTGTGTGCCACCAACGCCTGATGTAAATAAATCTTTTTTAAAAAATACATTGCAGAGGAATGGAAGAAAACACCCAATGGTGATTTTTCCATTGGCACACACATAAACATATATACCTGATATATATATATATATACACACATACACACACACACACACACACACACACACACACACACACACAAGAAAACCTTCAGGATTGACATAGAAAAGAAAGCAAAAACTCACATGAAAATCTTTTGGGAAGCATAGTTTAACAAAAAAAAAAAAAAAAGATTAAGATATGGCATCCATACTGCAGCTTCCTTTTCCTGTGTCCAAAGAAGGCATTACTAATCAATCTCAGCCTTTCTTATCAGCTGTATTATCACATCTGAATTACTTTCACCATATATTCCAAGAAGCCATACCAACAGATCAGAACCACGAAACCCAGTGAAATATTTATCCCTTGGCACCACGAGTTCAAAGCAATAATGCCATTATGGTTGTGATCCTAGCAGGCCCAGACAAAACTAGGTCCCCAGAGTATAACCCTGTGGTCCTGGTCAGCTCAGTTAGCCAAGGACTCTGGATCAGCTATTAGCTCCCCAGGCACCCAGGACTCGTGTTCACTGTGGGCAAGAAAAGTGTCAGGCAAAGCAGCGGGCATGCAGGGCATAAGCCAGATGGTCCGTGCTCTCTGTAGTCTGGGACAGACACTTACTAAACTGGGATGTTTGTTTTCAAGGGCTTGCCTCCCACTATCCTGCTTGGCACCCCCAGTTCCTCTTTTGCTTATTTTAGTTCCCTGAGAAAATCTTAGGTTCAACTCCCACCATAGCCGCCAGGTCAGCCCTAGGGTACTGTTCCAGCTCATACCCAGGAAACCCTCTACCAGGAGGTAGCATGCTACCAAGACCAGGTTAGTAGAAATGACCTGCCATCTGCAGCCCTGAGCCCAGCTGCCTCCTCCAAGTTTGTTCTCCAGGGAGCAGTTTCTGAAGGAGCCAGCCTCTGCCCCAGCTCTCAACTGCTTCTTGCAAAAAAAAAAAAAAAAAAAAAAACCCTGGCCAGGCAGAAGTAGGGTAGCCCCAGGGCTGCTCATTGGAGAAGCTTGTCTGAGGCATGCTACCATACTCTGGCAGGGTCAGCTTGGTCCATAACAGCCACCAGTGGTCCTGAGGCATGTCAAGAAACCCTTTCTGTATCAGAAACCTTTCCTACTGGTACCTCTCATCCTAGTCCCAGAGAGAGCTTTACGTGAACCTCCAGAGATAGGTAAAGCACCCCCCCCCAATTTCTGACGGAGCCACTAAAGATGAATTAGTTCTTCAGAATATAGACTTCTCTCCCTAGGCTTCTGCTAGCACCAGGGACCCAGGATGTCTGGGGAGGAGGCTACAGGGCTCCTCCCTCCTCTTGGAAGCTTAGTTCCCCTGCTGTGTCTCATCATCACCCCATCTCTTGCCCCAAGGGCAGGACACCTCCAGTCCCCATGCCCAGACCCTGCACCTCCACAGCAACAGCAAGGTCATGGATGTAGATAGAGCCTGGACCACACAAAGACTGCATCAAAAACAGGAAATCATGAAGCTGACATGCCCTCACTTGCAAGGTCCAGAAGAGAAGAGACTAGAGCCCTGCAGAAGGAAGCTGGGCAGGAAGTGAGTGGCTGTTCTGCTGGGGGCCTCCTCCCCTTTCCACAGAACAGCAGCCAGACAGGAGTCCGACAGTCAAATTCTTAGAAGTCATCTAGGTAACAAGGTCTGAGGCTTACAGGCCAGCCTCCCCCAGGGGACAGGCGATACTCATTCTACAGCTGGTCTGTGGGTTTTTTCCTTTGACAGAGGCCCCAAAGCCCTGCCACAAAACATCTGGCACTTCCCCCACTCCAGCCCAGTGCCCCCAAAACCAAAAGAACAACACACTGTCTTTAGTAACTGTGTGGAGTCTATGGTAACAGATGGAGTAGAAGAGGGGACCCTGGGGACAAAAGAGGAGTCATGGTTTTGGTGTCCTGCCTACCCCAACACTCCTGTGATGATAGAGCCTCCAGGAACTCCAAGTCCCTGACATGGCTGGCATCCCACAGGGGCCTATACGCTTGGTCCTTACCAGACAACTTGTCTAGTTCCCAGCGGGTAGCTTATTGCTATATTCCAGCCTGGAGCTGTTTTCTTTATTTCCTAACCATCTTCCTGCCTACAGGCCCTGGGTATGAGCTTTCCTACCCAGGCCCAGTTCATCCAAGCCAGTGGAGGCTACAGGAAGACAAATGCTGGCATTAGGCCACGGTTCTTCTAGTGTTCAAGCTACCATCCCACTGGAGGCTGAAGGGTGATTTGCCCAGCCTTGCCCCTCCTCACTCTCAGAGATCAGCTGTGCACTCTCTACCTCATGGGATTGCCCTTTCTCTTCATGCTTTAAAATCCATCATGAAGGACTTCCCTTGTATCTCCAGGTCATACCAGACCCTGGAGATGGGAACCAAGAGTGTCATCAGAAGCTGAAGGATCTCTAGGCTCTAGCTGCCCCCTCCCACACCCCCCAGGGCCTTAAAGCTGGTACCTCCAATTCACTCATTGCTGTTTACAGCTGTTGCCACATACTGTTTTTAATAGCATCCCTTTCCCACTTAGAAGTGGCCCAGTATAGATAAGACATCATGAAGGTCACCTTTATCATTGCCCCACACTGAACAGTGAAGTGGTAGATGATGAGGACAAGAAGGCCAGTCTCCACTCACCTTTCCCATCATGCCCTTACCACCCTCCAAGTATGACGGTCAGGCCTCACGTTGCTCAAGACACTAATGAGCTCACAGTGGCTCCTGACATAACAGGTCCTGTTTCAGAGCCTCTGGCCACTGAACTCTGGGACCACCATACAGGCAATGTGAGCCCAGAGTCACTTAAACTGTTGACAGACCCTCAGATTACTGGCGGAAGGCTACTGATGAAGCTCCCCTAGTGGGGCACAGGCAAGCCAGGCTCAGGAGTTGGGGTGACAGAGTCAGGCCAACAGTGCGTCCTCAGACAAAACAGCAGGCCAGCCACACACTCACAGTGAGCAGGAGTCTCTCATATCTTGTGTCTCTTGCCTAGGAGGGAGGCAAGGTGGCAAACTTATCCCATCTGGGCTGCTGGTTCCCATGAAGAAAGGCTGCTGCCAAGCTGGACATTGGCGATTTCTTAGGTCATTTGGCATCTGTGGCTGGTGATGTGGACTCAAGTCTCCAGAGAGAACTCAGCATCCCGAGATCTTGAGAACAGCAATGAGCAATCCAGCATCTCCTCCCCGCCCCACCCCGCCCCACCCCATGTAGCATCCAGAAATGGTAGGGGGAAGGTCCACATATCTTGTAAAGCAGAGTCCAGGCTCAGAGCAGGAGGAAGGAGGCTGGGGTCAATGCCTAAAGGTCTGTTTAAAGGGCCAGCCATAGATCAAATACACCATTGTCCATGTTCCCCAGCTGGTTTAGATGACTTCAGAGTTAGGGGAGTCAGGAACTGGATCTGTAAAAAAAAAAAAAAAAAAAAAAAAAAAAAAGAAAAAGGAAGGAAGGGAGGAAGGAAGGAAGGATAAAGAAGTGAAATGTGGGGAAGGGGGTACCTGTGTCCCCTTGTTCAACCCTGCACCATGAAGACTCCCCCTTAATGGGAGGTCCTGCAGAGCCTGTGGTCCTAATGTTTATCAGTCAGGGTGCTGTAAAACCTGGGTGACACTCACCTAGGGATGGGAAGAAGACATCCCCGGGGCCTGGAGGAGACAGAGGCGTGCTAGGGTCAGAGAGCAGATGACGTCCTGACTCCGAAGGTTGTCGCTGAGCCACATAGGACAGTGGGGGCCTGGTCTTTGCCTCAGGCATCCCCTGGAATGGTGGAGTGGTCTCAAAGCCTGGGTTTTCGATACCCTGGGTGTTGCTGCTAGAAAAGCAGAATTTATGGGTGATTAGTGTCACTCGGAGTATTTCTTTCCTTCCTGCTACCCATTTCTTCTCTGCCCTCCCTAGCTGGGACAGGGCAGCCTGTGAAAGCTTCCCTCCTCAAAGGTTCTAGTGGGATCACTGGTAGAACTTCCTTTGACATATCAGAGACGCTGTCTCCCTCAAACACATTGTAGGACAGTGACCAAGCTTCCAGAGGTTACTAATTTCTGAGCCCATCCAAGCCAGCCCATGCCCAAGCACAGATAACATTGTCATGCCTGCTCATATCTGACCCCTGCCACTCCCACCCTCTGCCCAGAGCAGCCATTGGCTTGCTCATGCCTGCTCAGCTTGACACCTTTCTCTTGCAATGCCTGGGGCAGCCAAGCTTTGCATGTTGTAATGTCTGCCCCGGCCTGCTACTTCCACCCCTGACCATCCTAAGCCAGCACTTCCAAGCAGAATCAGGGCCTAGCAGAGGTGAAGGTGATAAACAAAGCAGCCCACCGGCCCAGACATGTCAGATACAGCAGCTCTGACCAGCTGTGACATGCTGAGCAAGGGCTCCACATCACACAGAAGCACCCCTTCCCTGATACCTGGTTCCAGAAAGTTTCTCAAAGTCACTGTGGGCCTTACCTGTCCATCCTCACCAATTCCTGGGCACCTATAGATAAACAGAAAAGCTGGTCTCAGAAAGGAGCCCTTCTTCAGGCTCCACCCCCTGCACCCAAAACATGCCCAGGAGCCAGTACTGTTCCCTAAAGAGGTCCAAGTTCCATGTGTCTGTCCAGCAGGTGGACCCAAAGCACAGCCACCTTCGTGTACAAGTAAAATACATCTGCATTTTCCCCATGTGGGATGATGTTTGGCCTAGGTTCATACTTCCCCTGAAGCCTGACAGCGTCAGAATCTGAGTTTCAATCAAAAGCCAGGTCTCTGCATGTGCTGAGGATTGCTTTCTATCAGGAAGTTTGCCTCTCTGGTTTTTAGCCACAGCTTGTTGGGTAGAGGCTTCAAGGTCAGCTCCTAAGATTAGATGGTCTGCTCCCCTCTTAATCTCCCCATTGCTTCCCAGTCTTCCTGCCATTTTCTCCCCCACAAGCCACTACCACTTCACCCCATCGTTGGGGCGCCCTTAAAACTGATCATCACACAGATGTAAGAACACCAACTTCCCTCTTTCTTGCAGCTCCCCACACCCTCCCACAGATCCTTCTTATAGGAGGAGGGTTACATGGGGAAATGGGCTAGGGGAAGGGTATCTGCATGACAAACACAGGGAAGTTGCACAAGGTTCCTGAAATCTAGGTCACTTCTGCTGACAGGGTGACTCTGTGCCAGGCTGCATGGTCCAAAGTCATCCTCACCACCTTGCTCTACTTTAGAGCTGGGGATGCCAAGCTGCCTTTTCTTTTCTTTTCTTTTGCCCCAAACATGCTCATCCCCAGGCAACCCAGCCCCCGGCCCAGGACCAGGGAGCTTTCTGCCGAGTGTGCTGTGCACCATGAGCTAACCCATGAGCTAACCCACCGATGGTCTGCTGTAGCCAGAGTGCTAAGACTCGCTGGTTTGCTGGTTTGTTGGTTCCCAACATCCTACAGCTGCCACTCTAGGGTCTGTAGGGTTTCAGTTACTCCCCAAGCGACACTGCCCATCCTTTGGCTCTTGATGACATGTGTTTCTGTTGCTAAGTCTGAAATCACAGGCTAAATTTGGAGGCTTTGGTTCAGAGGCAGAGAAGAGACTCACAAGTGTTTGCTTTAGAAGATAATTTCGTTTGGTTGGTTTTATGTTTGTTTTTGTTTTGTCAAGACTGGGTCTCACTATATAGTTTCAGATGATCTGAAACTCACTATTTAGACCAGGCTGGCCTCAAACTTACAGAGATTTGCCTGTCTCCACCTCCCGGGGTTGGGATTAAAGACCTGAGCTAGAAAATAAATTCTTTTTCCCTCCTGTTATTGTGCATGAGACATCCTTACCCTGGGACAGTAACATGATACAGGACAAGGCTATTCTCCACAGGCACTCAACATGGCATGAAGTGTAACACTCTCTAGCCCATTGTCACCCCAGGGCTCTTCTCTAAGTCCAGGTCACATGCTTTCCTGAGGCAGATGGGAAGTTTGGAGCCAGTGTTTAGATGAAGGTGTATGGGACTGGGGCCTGTGTCCCATACAGAACCCCACATGAATGACATTCTGTCCTGGTCACACACACACACTTCTGTTTTCTTCCCTCTAGCCATCTCTATCCCACTAGGTCCCATGAGCAGAATGGGAACCTTATGGATGCCCTGCAAGAAAGGCCAGGCCCAACAAAGGCTGAGTGAAACCCCATGTACACTTGTAGCTGAAAGGGTCTGCTTTCCAGTTCTTGTCCCCTGATCTGACCACATGACCACCTGACCACATGACCAGGCAGTGTTGTGGTCTGGGCAAAGGGAAGAGAAAACAGAAAGCACCTGGGAATTCATCTGGAACCTAGCCTAGCTGGGTATCTCCCCCACCCCATCCCCTCAGGCATTTCTCCCCTCCCCCACCATGAAGAGCCCTGGGTTCCTCCTTCACTCTCTGTCACATGCTGCATGCTGCCACTGTAGGGATGCCCACGGGCTGTAATAGGGTTATAATGGGAAGAAACAGTCTGAGAGGAAGGGTGGGGTGGCCACAGCCCATAGTGGCCCACTGTGGGCCTCCAGGAAAGAGGGTAGGGGGATGGCAGGGTGATTAAGAGGTGAAGGGGAGGGCAGAGGAAATCTGGTGTGACCTGGTGACAATAGTCTTCCCTCAATTCCCTTCTGCAGCTAGGCAGAGGAAAGAGGCCAGGGAGGCACTGTAAGAGTGGAGAACTCCCTACCCAGTGGGCTCCCACCCCTCAGAGAACAAGGCTCATAGGAGAGGCCGGGCCAGACACTCAGAAAAGGGATATGATTCGTGTTTGTGGCCATGAACTTGAAGCCTGGCTCCACTGTTCATTTGCAGTGTGTTTCATCAGGCAAGGGACTGAGCCCCGGTTTGTTCATCTGTAAAATGAGGACAGCAATGTCCCCTGTTTGGGTTGTCATGGTAACTAAGTGAAGCACAGCTGTGACAGCTTGGCACAGTGCCTGGTAAGGTAACCCCACCAGCTGGGGGCCACCTCAGCTCTGTACTCACAACACCTTATGACATTCAGTTAGTTAACTTGCAGAGCCTGTGAAAGGACAGACAACTGAAGCCATAGCTAAAAGCTCTGCTATTTCTGACATTCCAAAACCTGTTTTTGTCCCAGCTCATTACAAAACAAACCCACCCATAGGCTCAAGCAGGTCTCTAAGAGTCCCCTGAGTGTCAGCATCCTTATAAAGCAGTTTGAGCTAGTCCTACCCATCTACGTAGTTACCTGCTCATTCGTATGAAGTGCCAAGCTAGCCCAGCCTGGGCACTGAAGCAGCTGGTAGACATTAAGTCCAGAGAAAAGCATATGTAGGTACTCTTCTCTCTCATCAGCCACAGAGTCAGCTCTTTGCAGAGGTGAAAAAGAATGGGAAAGGACTGTATAGCCCTCATGCCCCATGCTGTCACTGGTCTCACAGCTGGGGAACCCCATTACCATCCCAGCAAAAGGTACTTACGGCGATGAGAGGCAACCTGTCTCTGCTTATAGACCAGCAACAGGATAAGTGGGAGGCAGAGGATTCCTACGATGCAGGCACCTGTGGCCAGGGCCGCAGCTGTGATGCCTAGAAGGAAAAAGCAGCTGACATGAGGATCCCCTTCCTATCACTTCTCCTGAAGGGAAATGGAGACACAGAATTACCCCAGAGGTGCTCACATTCTACCAGATTGGAGAAGGGAACTGGACAAGAATGGACTCTGCATAGTATTTATTAAAAAGTCCCTAAGCTCTGTAGGGGCAGGCTCTGGAGCTATGCATGTGGGCCTAGCTGGCCCAGAGGCTTAGGACCTGTCTAAAGTCAGCCTGACTACACTTGCCTTCACTCCCAGGTGACACCCATTGCAGAGAAAGCTTAGTCACCATCTGGAGCCAGGCTCTTACTGGGAAGGTGATGAGACACTGGTGCAAGTAGGTGCCACAACCACCCCATGGCACATGCCAGGTCCTTTCAGAGCAGGCAGGACCCATATCCAGACTCTTGGTGACCTGAAGAGATCACCCTAGTGACCTCCTTTCAGAGACAGCCTTTGTCCCCCAAAGAAGAGAAACAAAGGAGAGCTAGACCACCCTGGACCTCAGGTTGCACCAAAAGGCCCTTCCCACCAGATGCCACAGTTCAAGGTCCAAAGGAGCCACATAATGCAAACAAATTAGAACACAGTGTTGCACAACAGTGAGGATGTGATTTCTTGCAAGCCACTGCCATTTGCTTCTAAAGATGGATGTTTCACTGCAATGAAAACAAAATATTCCAGCCTCACCAAGCATGATGGCACAAGTCTTTAATCCCAGCACATAGGAGGCAGAGGCAGAGGGATAGGCAGAGACAGGTGGATCTCTGTGAGTTCAAGTCCAGCTTGATGTACATAGTGAGTTCTAGCACAGCCAGGACTACATAGAGAGACTCTATCTCAAAAAATAAAAACAAACCCTAGCCCATCTTTTGAGGAAATCCTTGATCTTTCTAGGGTGAGGACCCCTGGAAGCTTGGCCTCTTGATCACACACACACACACACACACACACACACACACACACACACACACACACACACCAGTTATAGGAGAACAAAATTTGCAACAAGAATTAAAGAACTGGACTAGGATTGTAGCATTTGGCTAGCATGCACAGTCCCTGAATTCCATTCCCAACACTGGAGCAGGGTAAAAACTAGAGAAATGCCCCCCCAAAAAAACTTTAAATAGCTGGCTCTCCAGGATCCTTTCAAAAAGCCAGATGTGGCCACATGTAACCGAGGTGGTGAAGAGGTAGAGATAGGTCACTGGCCAGCCAGTTTCACCTAACCATAAACTGTAGATTCAGTGAGAGACTCTACCTCAAAAACTTAAGCAGCAGACAATTAAGGAAGACACCCAATGTAAACCTCTGGTTCTGCATGGACACATACATACATGCACACATAGGAATGTAAACACATGTGAAAATTCAGAAATCTCTTCCTTCCCTCAACCTGGGCCCCCTCACAGGCCACAGTCTTCATCTATCTAAATTTGTTCTTATCTTACAGGAACACATAGGAATGTCCTCCTGGCCTCCAACCACAGTTTGGACATCTCTGTCTACACAGAGACCCATTCCTATGTCTGGTGCAGACATTGTTTACTTCCATTTTCAACAGTCCTCATTCTGCAACAAAGAATCTGTAGGCTCGATTTAGGCTGGGATTTCTGCTCACTCTGGCAGGACATCTGAACCTAAACATTTAGCATTAAAGCACAGAGCCAGGGAGCATTGTGTGTGTTTTTTCCTAGACTGTTGCACAATTATCTCAGAAAGGGCCGTGCCACTGCATGAGCCCCACATCATAGGGGGTTGGTTTATTTCAGACCATCTGCTGACTCCAGGAATTTAGTTGGGAACAGACGAGCCCTTGGAACCACAACCAGAGTAAGCCCATTTCCTTCCCAATTTGAGCCTTTCACTCTGCCAAAACATGGCTAGGACCTCTTGTCATAGGATCAGGTTCATCTCCAGAGAGCTCTAGGTGCTGGATGTGCCTTTAGTCTATTTGCTGCCTCTGCACTTTATTTGGGAACAGAGGCCATTTTTATCCCACTGTATGGCTAAGCAATATGGAAGCAGAAATGGGCTCACAGTGAGGTGTAAGAAACTGAGCAGACCATTGGCAGGCACTTTAGAAGTAACCATTGGTATGGAAACAGTACACATTCCTAGGCGAATTGCAAAGGAAGTTCCAATCCACAGGAAAGCTGCTTCCCTGCCGGTTGTAATGTGGCTGCATTTGAATGTGAAATATTGAAAGTAAAAATGTTCTATAATTCATACTATTCAGTGCAACTAAACCCCATGCAAGGACCTTACTGTGGGCAATCTGAGAAACTGGCAGCAAAAACACTTTTCTCTCATCCCACAGTTACTAAGCAACACATGGTTTAGTTAGCCAGGTGCTCACATCCTGCCTTGAAGATTTGGCCAGGACCTCCAGGCTTGACCCTCTTGTTTGCAAGTGGCAATTCTGCCCCCTATGGCTCCCTTGGTTTCACTTCCAGAGCCAGTTTCCTTTACCATGGACTCATCTGGGCCACTGTAGGGGCAGGCTAGAGAAGTGTGCATGTGGGCCCAGCTGTCCTCAGAGGTTTAGGACACCTTTGTAAAGCCAGAATGACCACAGTTCAACTTACTCCAAAATGGCACCCATCTGGAGCCAGACTTTCTGGGAAGGTGATGAGACACTGGTGCAAGTAGGTGCCACAACCACCCCATGGCATGTGCAGGCAGGATGGGAAGGCCCAGTCAGTCTATGTCCAGGGCCTTCCAGGTTCCCTGTGGGTGTGTGCGAAGGAGGCTGAGGAAAACATCTGGCACATCCTGCTGCCTAAGGGATGGGAAGGGTACAGAGAAGGCTGCCCCGCCCTGTCCTGATCTCGGGGGAAATCCATAGCCCCTCGGCAGTGCAATGAAATGCCAGCCCACACCTTTGGCAGGCTCTTTCTCCTCCCCAACACTTCCTCATGCCTGAAACCCACTTGGACTTGGCCCTAGTTTAATCTAAGCTACTCTTCCATAGGGTAGCATTTAGCCACTCAGACTGGAATTAGAAAAGGAAAAATACAAAGATGTTGCCTGGAAGCATCATTAACGGACCCAGTGAGTGCTGTGGTTGAACACTTCAGTGTGAAAGAGAGTTGAGGTTGGGAACAGTAGAGAATAGTGCTTAGCAACTGGCCTTGAGGCCTATTTAGCAATGGCATGGGTGGCCAGGCTCTAGAAATGTGTTAAGAAACCCACCTGTGTTTACCATCAGTTCCCATCCCTTAGCACAGGGTGGAAGAGTTGCCTTGGGATGTTAGACCTAGTGTGCATCAAGAGGAAATTGGAACCCACACCTCCACGGCGATGGAACTACCCTTGCAGACTGGTGGCTGAGTTTTCACCAGCTTCACTCCTCCCTACTGTTTTGTTCTCTAGATCCCTGGGCCTGAAACACAAGTGGTCCCCATCCACGATGTAGCCCCTTAGATCACATGTGTGCCCCTGTAAAAGGGACATAGGCATCCCCATTCCTCAATTGAGCAATGATGCAGAAAATGGTAGTGCTGCCAAATTCTCCACACACACTCCCAAAAAGTCGGGCTTAGTGGCTAGTGCAAACCAGGAATGTGGAAGGGGAAGGACATCGGAGGTCATCAGAGTCATCCCCTGCCCTCAACAGCTGCAATGGGATCAAGTGTGTTGTTCTTTTGGCCCTCAACAAACCAATTCACTGGACAATAGCTCAAGGAATCAGGAGCCAGAAAGAGACTTCACAGCTCCAAGAATTGGCAAGGGTTTAAAACATCAAAATCCAAGGACAGAGGTGCATGGAAAAGAAAGACAAAACACCTTGGAGGTCAGGTTCACACTTCCCTTGGATTTTTCCTCTAAGTCTTGGGATTAGAAAAGTTCCCAACCGCCTTGGCCTGTCCAATTCTCCAGCACCCTCCCCTCTACCATCTTCTGTCGCTGTCCCCAAGACTGAAGGCATATGGCTTATTTTCACAAAGTCCTGCTGAAGCCAAGCATAGTGGTTCACACCTAGAATCCCAGAACTTCATAGGCAGAAGCAAGAGGATTATGTACATTTGAAACCAGCATGTTCTACATAGCAAGTTCCAAGTCGGCCACAAACTGCGTGAACCTCATTTTTACCCACAAATAGGACAACACACAAGATGACATGCCGGCAGCAGTAGCAGAAGGAGCAGTTTGCAAAGACAAATTCTTGAAGAGGCAGCAGGGCTGGGGTGATTGCTCAGAGTGAAGGAACCATGGGGAAGTGGATGTCGCCCATGCCCCACTGCTGTGTCCCTCACACACATACGTGTGGCACACAGTGAGAGCTGCTTCGTGGGAAGGAAGAGGATGCTTAGAGGGGAAGTGAGGACAGCATTGCGACTTGGTGTTAAGGACACACTCGAGCTCAGCAGTGTGTGTCAGAAGGGCTTGAACCAAAGGCCTCACTGCCACACTGGTGTGGCTCTCATTCAATTTTGTATATGGTGGGATTGTTGGTTGGTTTGAAAATATGAGCAATTTGACTAGAAAGTTGCTTTTATCTTTGAGTTGCTTTGGTCTTTGGGGCTTTACACAAGGCTGTAGTTCAGCTGGCTCAAACCCCAACTGTGGCCAGGGTCACAGTTTTTCCTTCTACCCCACCAGAGCCTAAGCAAGAGCTGGCTCACACTAGATGCCTGACAAACCTATAAACCACAGCCCTCTCTGTGGAATGTGGGGCATCCTAAGACATGTCCCCTTACCTACTGTATATGCCACAGGGCATTTGCAAACAAACCCTGTGTCCAGCCTCCCTAAGAGCAGAGCCCTCCAACTCATCCATAAGGCCTCTCCCTGGACCAGCACCAGAGCTGTCAGCCACCCTGCACTCTGCATGTCCAATCTCCTTCCACAGGCACAGGCGATAGGCTATGAGCAGAGCTGGACAGGCTCCGGTCAATCCGTGCTGTACCGCTGAGCGGTGTGAGCATGTGTTACCTCTGCTGAGTGGGAATGGTGATCTGTGCTTCACAGATAGAGCAGTTGCAGGAGCAGGGGCTTCTGGGACCACAGTCAAGAAGGAGAAGGGGAATAGAAGCAGCAGCAGAGAGTCTGGTGGTCTGAAGGTGTATGGCACTGAGGTGAGCGTCCAGAACAGGGTCTGGGCCCGAGATAAATACAGGAAGAACAAAGTGCATAGGAGAGATGGGGGGTGGTCTTCCTTACTGTCACTGTCCTGTTCATTGGATGGGTACGCAATGCACGTAGATAGTGAGTCTTTGCCTGTGGGAACAAAGAAAGGGCTGTTAGACGAGTGGGAGGCTCATGAGGTCAAGGAGGTTGGTCCAGCTAGTCACATCTCCTGTCACAGGAATGCACACTAATGCCTGCCTGGCAGTCCTGGCCTATGGAGTCTGTACACATGTGCTTGTGTGAAGACATGCAAGTATGAGCACATGGGCATGCGCGGGCACACGCGTGTGTGCACACACACACACATTTACCCTGTTCTCATGCAACCTCCTAGGGCAAATTGGTACCTGCTAGCACCTACATCTCAATCCAGTCAAATCTTGCATTCTCCGTGGGAGAGACAGCAGATATACACACTCACCTTGCAGCCATTTAGCCATGATCAACTCAAACTCAGTATACTATCAGTCCCCTTACTGCCTATATTTTCTCATGAGCAGTAACATGAGCAGTTTAGGTACTTACTTACACCCTCTTACATGAAAAAGTCACTCTGTCACAAATAGGACAACACACAAGATAATTACACGTCTGCACCCCACACACAGGGACCCACTCCTTACACAGCCACATGCCCTTGAGTGCCATGTCACTCATGGTCTCATACATAGTCATGTGGCAGATATGCAGACACCCCCTCCTCCACTCCCATGCTCACCTGTCTGTACCTGCAGCTCCATGTACCCATAGAACCATTGTTCTGGGTGGTGGTGCTTGATCTCTACCACCTGACAACAGTAGAGGCCGCTGTCCTGAAGGGTCACATTGTGCATAGTGATTGAGAAGTTACCATGGTGGTCAAAAACTAACTCCAACCCATGTGCCTGGGCTTGATCGTGGCTGGTTTTGGCTGTCTCATGGCTTCCATGGTGTGGATGAAAGTGCTGGAATGTGAAGTTGCGGATGGGCCGACGTTCTTTGCACACTTGAACCTCACCTCGTGTGCTAAGGTACCATGTTTTGTAGAAGGTCACATTGTGCCCTTTGAACATAGGGCCCAGGATCCTGCAGGTCAGCGTGACATTCTGCCCTTCAGGACACACGTACATAGAATACGGTGTGGCAACCTTGAAGGCTGCCACCAAACCTGCTCAGAGAGAGAAAAGACCCTGTCACCTGCCTGAGTACCACTCCTTGGCACCCTTGGATGAGGAGAAAGCTTGACTTCAGCCCATCTCCATCTGCAGACCCCGGGCAAGTCAACAGATCTTCTGAGCCTTGGCCTCTTATTTAATGCACACTCCATCCCAACCTGAATGGGAGAAGCCTCCAGGCCTCCCCAAGTGAAAAGGGAGAAAGCGAGGGAGGACAGGGTAGGGGGGTAGTGATGACGACTTTAGCCAAACAACAGACTGGTCAGCCAAGATGGGGCCTTCTCCCAATAGAGCATGAATCCTGGCTCCCAACCCACTTTGGACATCCCTGCCCTGCATAGGAAGGAGGTACAAAGGAGAATGGGAGGTCATAGTCTTTGGCCATGCTCCTAGAAAGTACCAGCATCTTCTGCTCACCCCCATTCCTCACCCAGGCCACACCTCCTTCCATTGCCTCCACATTGAGCATTAACCAATACTTGCATGGGGAGGGCCAGTGCCAGGTGCCCAGTGACCCAGATGAGCAGATCAGCCTGCACTCATGACCCTGTGGGCAGATGCAAACCAGTAACCAGTTTTCAGAGACATGGGAGAAAAGACATATCCTTCCAGGGATGGGCATGGCCCTTCTGGGAAAAGGGTGGGTCTTTAGACTTTGTATGAGACTTTATAAGTGAGCACTTCAACCAAGGCAAGATGATAGGAAAGCAGGTAATTCGGGATACATGACAGGTCCTCATCCATGCACCTGCCTTCTACCCAAATGTAGTTCTCTTCCCTGAGCAGATATAGAAATCCTCTTGTCCCTATTTCAGGCCCCATTCTTCTACTGCTTAACCTGATGGAGCCTGAAGGCAGGGCTTTTATTTTTAAGACAGGGTCTCATGTATCCCAGATTGGCCCCAAACATACTATGTAGCTGAAGATGGCCCTGAGCTAATCTTCTTGCCTCTACCTCTCAAGTGCTGAGCTTTTGGACATGTGCCATCAGACCAGTTTAAAAGGCACAGAGTCTCACACCCAGGGCTTTATGCATGCTGGGAATGCATTCTACCCCAAGCCACATCCCCAGCCTGGCCCAGTCCTTTGAGATTAAAATGTGAGCCAGAGCCCCTGCTCCCCTGTCTAACTGTGTGAGCCTATTTTCTTCCCCATAAAGAGAAAGACATTGACCATAGCCGGGTTGGGAGAGGAAAAAAGGTGGGGATGAAGAGGCTCTAAAGCAAGGGGGGCTCTGGTCATCATCACACCTTAGTGTTGCTCTGGTTTTCATTCACATTGCAGGGGCTGCAGATCTGACAGGCAGGGAAAGGAGGGTTAGAATACATAGTCATAGCTTAGTCAGAAAAATGTTTACCTCAAAAATGTGAGGCCCTGAGTTTGAATCCCTAGAACCCAGGTAAGAATCTGGGTGTGTTAGGGCAGGCCTGTAAGTCCAGTGATGGGGAGATGGGAGGTAGGACCTAGAACTTGCTGGCCAGCTAGCCTATACTTGGTGAAGTTCCAGAGCAATGAGAGACCCTGTCTGAAAAGTAGGAGGGATATCCACCACCAAGCTTAATGACCTGAGTTCAATTCACATGGTAGAAGGAGAGAACTAAATCCTATTCCGGCAAGTTGTCCTTTGCCTCCACACAGGTGCCATGGAGTGTATATACACACATGCACCCCACACAAAATAAATACAGAAATGCTTTACAAGGACAACCTCAGGTTGTCCCCTGACCTCTAAACACATGTATGTACACACACACACACACACACACACACACACACACACACACACACACAGCTCCATCCAGAGGAACCATTTAGATCTCCTACTCTGAGGCCTACTCCCTGCCCTCAGAGCCCAGGACCATTGGTACAAAGCTGGGAACACCTAAAGCTCTGGCAGCCTGGCCCAGTGCAAAAGGCAGCAGCCTGGTGTGGTTTTTGGAGTGGAACCAGGCCACACTGGAGTCCAATGACACTGAGTCATTAAGCTGAGCCTCAGACTCACTGGAAGACAAAGATAAAAAAACATCAAGAGAAGGGGGGTGGATGTTAAAGCCAAAACAGGAATCATTCACATAAGTGTCCTAAGAGTATTCTCTATGCAATTCAAGAAACACTTGCAAGGAGAGGGACCAAAATCCACTGGAATGAATAAGCTAGCTTCAAACTCTTCACCACAAAAAAAATATGAATGACTAGTAACAGCTAATGATCTAGTACTAAAGGGCTTTTGTGTGTACATGAGAGTATGCAGGGCCCCAAAAAACACCCGTAGGAGAGGAGCATTAGGCCTACAAGGTAAGGAAGACAGACATTCCAGAGCCATCCCCTAGTTCTGCTCATACACCAGAGATGTCTGGAATGCTGTTGCCAAGGTGAGTATAGATTTCAGAACTTCTTTGGTGAGATACCATCTCCTTTTCAGGCAGTGACAGGCCCAGGAAGGGAAAGTGGTTTGGCTGAAATTGCAGAGGATCTGAAGACTTCAAGTAAAACAGGCTTCACAGAGAACTGGGAGAAGCAATGACATGTGTTGTGCTCTATGCCCAGGGGTCTGTGTTGCATGTGACAGCCTGAGAGTAGGGTTGGATTCTTCCCATTTTGTTAGTGAAGAGACCAAGTCCACAGACAGGGTTAAGCAGCTTATTTTCTCATCATCCCAAAGCCAGGGACCACTGGAGATTGACTTCAACCCAAGCATGTGTACTGTCCAAAAGCTAGAAGCCCCCAGAGACCATGTAGCCTTCAGACTTTGCATTTGTTGTTGTTGTTTGGAATTGCTAACATTTAAAAGGAATGAATTTGTGGCTCTGGAGGTTTGATCAATGATTAACAGCACTGGCTGCTCTTCCAGAGGACATGGGTTCAATTCTCAGCACCCATGTGGTAGCTCACAACTGTCTCTAACTCCAGTCCCAGTGGATACAATGACCTCTTCTGACCTCCTCAGACATGAGGCATACACACGGTATACACACATACACACACACACACACACACACACACACACACACACACACACACACACACACCTTCCATACACATAAAAATAATTTTTAAGTGAGGACTTGATATTAAATTTGTAACCCCCAGTTTCTCTTTGCAACAGCAAACAATTGTCTATGCCTCTGGATTCATCCACATCAGCCTGGAAGTTCCCACATAGGCCTGTATGGCCACTAAACCCTGGCTTTGCCAGATAAGGAGAGGGGCTACCTAAGGAAAGGGCTTTCCCAGACATCCACAGCAGGAGCCAAACACACAAAGAGTGGCCATACTCCTGCATCCATGCAGCAGTTACCCCAGCCTTTCTCCTCTGCTCAATAGCTCTAGCCAATGAGACACCATCCTTGGAGCCAAATTCCATTCCATTAGCATTTGTCCAGTGCACAGCCCCTGGGGGCTATCAGGAGGGCAGTCAGAGCAGAGGCCAGAGCTGCAGACCTTCGGTGGGTGAGGGGCACAGGACAAATGTCAAAACACTTAGAAGCCAAAGGTGTGGATGAGCATGTGGCAGGGCAGGGAGGTGTGCCAAGCTGATGTCACAGCCTAAGCTATGGTGTTTGGAGTTCAGGTCTGCACCAGAGCAGGCAGAATGGATCAAGTCCTTTTTCATTTTCAAGGGGTCATGGAGAGAGTAGGGTTTAGAGAGAGCAAGAGACAGAGACGCAGCATGGGTCCATCCCACCCATCCACACTCACTTCTCATTCTCGAGGTCAGCAAAGCTCTTCCTGAGTTAGAGGGAAGAAGAAGCTGTCCTTGGATTGGGGTTGGGTTGGAGGTTGTTTGATTTTAGGCTTGGGGATCAGGTAAGAGTGGCAGAAAGAAAAGGGTTTGTCCTGAAGGAGAACAGGGGACCAGAAATGTCCTTCGTGTCTGAGGCTCAAAGCTGCTGGCCCCTGGGAGGACACTCTGGGACACAGGCATGCGGAAGGGCCTGGACACACACCTGTGAACACACACTTTGTGGGTGCATGCAGCCTGGCTGTAATTATAATTACTTGTCGGGAGGATGTCGCTCATTGTCCACTGTAGGTCCCTTAGGCAACCTGGGTTATTGTCAGAGACCAGGGAAATGGGTGGGGAGGAAGGCCCCTGACTCTAGGGTAGCCAAGTTCACATGGGACAGGAAAGTGTCCCAAGCCCTATCCTGCACATGTACCAGTGGAGAGCATTGCCCTTGGGGACATGTCCCCTGTTCCTTCACCTTGCCCTACTTGCCACTGAGTAAGACCACCCTACACCTGCAAGCTAGGAAGATTCCAAATCTGGGGTCTGCTATAACTTTGTCCTAGACAGCAAGATTCCTGGGCCCTGTGGCATTCTAGGCTCTTTGCTATGTGAACTTATACAAATGCATTTTAAGAGAGTCCTGTGTCCTGAACCCCTTCAGCTCTGCTCTCAGATCCATATCTTTTTACATTTGTTGTTTTTAATTGTGTGTGCAGAATACACATGAGTATGTGTGTGTGTGTGTAAAGGCACATGCATGCACACACGCACAAGTGCATATGTACACATGAATGCAGGTGCTCACAGAGGCCAGAGGTATCAGATTCCCTGGAGCTGGAATTACAGACAGTTGTGAGCCACCTGAAGCATAGGATGCTAGGTTCCCTGGAAAAGCAACAAATGCTCTTAACCCCAAGCCCTCAGGCCCTCAGGTACACTTCTTATGTGTTAGGGACTTTATCCTAATGTGGGTATAATCCCCTATTCCATGTATTTTTGTTTTTAAAGTATTATTATTATTATTTATACTTGCGTGGGGTTTCTTGTTCAGCTTTGAATCTTAGGGCTTAGTTGGTTCATTTATGTTTTTTGAGACAGCTTCTTGCTATGTAACTCAGGTTAGTCTAAAACTTACTGTAGCCCAGGTTGGCCTTGAACTTATGATCCTCCTGCTTCTGTCTCCTGAGCTCTGGGATTATAGGCTCCGTGCTATGCCTCATCCTCATTTTAAAGATAAAACTGACTAGAGAAATAGAGTGGCTT